GCTCTCCTCCCACGCTGTCTCGTGTGTCTTCCTAGGCTTTGTTCCGGACGCGTTTGGTTGGCAGTTTTACCACCCCACCTCGCGCCGTGTCCTCGCCTCTCAGGACGTCACCTTTGACGTGTCGGTACCCTTCTACCGCCTCTTCCCCTACCGCACTGCCCCGCTCCCTCCCCCGCCTCTCTTCCTCGCGCCAGGTGCTGCTGAAGTAGACCCCCTCCCCCCTCAGGGTGCCGCTCCCTCAGGTGTGTCCCAGGTAGACCCGGTTGAGCCTGTCGAGGTAGCTGTCGACTCTCCTCCTGCTCGGGGTGCTGAGCCTGAGCGTGCGGAGCCTGGGGTTGCAGAGACTGGGGGTGCTGAGCCTGGGGGTGCAGAGTCTGGGGGTACTGAGCCTTGGGGTGCGGAGTCTGGGGGTGCTGAGCCTGGGAGTACGGAGCCTGCTTGTGCTGAGTCTGGGGGTGCTGAGTCTGGGGGTGCTGAGTCTGGGGGTGCTGAGTCTGGGGGTGCTGAGCCTGGGAGTGCTACGCCTGAAGGAGCTCTCTCCTCACAGCAGCAGCGTGAGTGGTACTTACAGTACTGCAGCCTCAGGAGAGGTGCTTCTGGAGCTAGGGGTGCTGCTGGAGCTGGTGCTCGTGCTTCCTCGCCTAGGCGGGAGCTGCCCTCTCCCCAGCGTCTTCGTGAGTGGTACGCACGACGCTGCAGTCTCATGAGTGGCGCTCCTAGTGTCGCGGACCCTGCTACTGGTGCTGCGGACCCTGGAGTTGGAGCTGCTGCTGGTGCTACAGACCCGGGCGTTGGAGCTGCTGCTGGTGCTGCGGACCCTGGAGTTGGGGTTGCTACTGGTGCTGCGGACCCGGGCGTTAGAGCTGCTGCTGGTGCTGCGACCCGGGCGTTGGAGCTACTGCTGGTGCTGTGGACCCTAGAGTTGGGGTTGCTACTAGTGCTGCGGACCCTGGAGTTGGAGCTGCTACTGGTGCTGCGGACCCGGGCGTTGGAGCTGCTGCTGGTGCTGCAGACCCGGGCGTTGGAGGTGCTGGGGGTGCTACTGGAGCTGCTGGAGGTTCTGGTGCTGTCTCTGCTGCTGCAGGGGGCACCTCACGGCCGCGGTCGTACTTTGTTCCACTCCTTCAGCAGGTTCTTGGTCAGTCACCTCCGCCTTGTCCCCCTCCCTCTGTAGAGTGTCCACCGACGGTCCAGTCGCTGTCACAGCTACCGCCTGCCTCGCCACTTCCTCGTCCTTCTCCCTACACTGGTCCTACTAGCGGTCTCACAGAGCGTCATCAGCTTGAGTCTCGCCCTCTGTCGCCTGTGTCCCGTCCTGAGTCCCCTGTTCGTACTACTTCCACCAGTCGCCGTACTCCGCGTGAGCGTCCGCCACCAGACCCTGGCACACACCGTATGTCACTGCGTCCCTCCACTACTCCACAGCGTGTCCCTCTGCCGTCTCCTCCTGAGTCCTCTCTTCTTGCTCTTGCTGACCCTGAGTCTGACTCTCTTCGTGCTGCCTGTCCTACTGTAACGCGTCTCCTGGCCACAGGTGTCACTGACCCTTCCTTTGAGTATGCTGCTGCGTCTGCCCTAGTTGCTGAGCTTGTCGACTTTGCTGCTCGCTAACGTCTAGACTACGCTGCTAGTCTTGTCGCTGAGTCTGAGTCTGTCTGTCCTCCATCTGTCGGGGGTGCGTGTGCTCTTAGCACGGACGTCCTTGAGGACAAACAGGAGGATCTTGAGTGTCTTGCAGCCGCTGCGCCCCATCTCGTGTCCATGCTAGTTGCCCCTGAGGGAGACCCGGATGCACCAGACATCCCGACTCCTCGATCGTACGCTGAGGCGATCGAGGGTCCCTACTCCTCACAGTGGCAGTCAGCCATGGACGCAGAGATGGCTTCCTAGAAGTCCACAGGCACCTACGTCGACGAGGTTCACCCACCTGGGGCGAACATCGTTAGTGGCATGTGGATTTTCAGGGTGAAGCGGCCGCCGGGCTCTCCGCCTGTCTTCAAGGCTCGTTACGTTGCTCGAGGCTTCAGTCAGCGAGAGGGAGTAGACTTCTTCCAGACCTTCTCCCCCACCCCGAAGATGTCCACTCTTCGGGTACTACTGCACGTTGCTGCTCAGTGCGACTACGAGCTTCACTCTCTTGACTTCAGCACAGCTTTCTTGCAGGGCAGTCTGCACGAGGAGATCTTGCTGCGCCGCCCTCCTGGCTTCACTCGGTCGTTCCCTCCTGGTACCTAGTGGAGCCTCCGCCGGCCGGTCTACGGTCTCCGCCAGGCGCCACGTGAGTGGCACGACATCCTGAGGACTACTCTTGCGGCACTTGGGTTCTCTCCTTCTACTGCTGACCCGTCGCTGTTTCTACGCACCGACACTTCGCTGCCGTCGTTTTACATTCTCCTGTACGTCGACGACTTGGTCTTTGCCACAGCTAACACTGAGTCTCTCGCCCACGTGAAGTCGGAGCTGCAGAAGAGACACACGTGCACAGACCTGGGTGAACTGCGCAGCTACCTTGGCTTGCAGATCACCCGGGACAGAGCACGCCGCACCATTACCCTGACTCACTCACACATGGTGCACCAGGTCCTTCAGCGCTTCGGTTTCACCTGGTCCTCAGCACAGGCCACTCCTCTGGCTATAGGTCACTCGCTCTCAGCTCTGCCTTTGGATGAGTCCGTAGAGTCGAGTGGTCCTTACCCAGAGCTAGTTGGTTGCCTCATGTACCTGATGACTTGCACTCGTCCTGACCTAGCATACCCTCTTGGCCTTCTGGCTCGCTACGTGGCTCCTGGTCGTCACCGAAAGGTGCACTGGGATGCTGCAAAGAGGGTATTGCTCTACTTGTGCAGTACATCAGGCATGGGGCTTGTGCTTGGAGGAGGGAGCTCAGTTGTTCTCACTGGGCACTCAGACGCTTCTTGGGTTGAGGACCAGGCTACTCAGCTGTCGTCATAGGGTTACACCTTCAGCCTTGGCTCTGGTTCAGTTTCGTGGCGCTCTGCTCGTTCGTCTTCGGTTCTCAGCTCCAGTTGTGAGGCTGAGATCTACGCCACAGCCATGGCTGCATAGGAGTTACGCTGGCTCACCTACCTGTTGACCGACCTTGGAGAGCGGCCTAGTTCTCCTCCAGTGCTGTACGTCGACAACAAGGCTGCCATTGCCTTGTATGAGGAGCACAGGCTGGAGCACAAAACAAAGCACATCGCTCTCCGTTACTTCCTTGCTTGTGAGCTGCAGCAGCGTGGTCAGCTTCGTCTGCGCTACGTGGCCTCTCAGGCCAACACCGCTGATATTTTCACCAAGGCACTTCAGCCTGGTGATCATCAGCGCTTCTGTACTTTGTTGGGGCTAGTGCCCACTTTGCTTCACTTGTTGTAGGCTTTGCCTGTACTGTGATCTCTATATATACTCCTGCCTGTTGGCACTGCTAGGTTGAGATCACCCTTGCTGTTTGTACTACTTATATATACTTCTGCATGTGAACTGGCCTTGTGGCCCTTTGCTTGTGCTCGGAGTGTGTGGTGACGTTGTGATCCACCCTGAGCTTGCTTGCCTTTCTTGACTGGTCTTGTGACCCCTTGTTCTCCCCCACTTTGCCTATGGGGGTGTGTCAAACACTGTATGTGTTATTATTGTGTAGGCTATAGTGGGTTAGCCTTTACGGGGTACACAAAGTTAGGGTTTCCTACTTGTACTCCAACTTTCATAGTGCAATCACTTCTTCTTCATAACACGTCAGCTCCAGTTTTCAAATTCAAGCATCCATTCTTGCTAACACGTCACTAGTCCAAGACCCTACACACCGCCATTGATCAAACAAGATCAACTACGCTGTATTAGTCGCTACGCAACACTCGGAGCCTCATTCCTGACACATGGGCCGTCTTCAACAACCATCTTCTCCACCACGGATGCCAGCACAACAATCATTTTAAACCATGGCTTCCCACTCCACCAACACATGACCGGCACAAGGAGGGAGGGACTTGCATAACCACGTCGACATAGAACGCAACAACCGACATAATAATTGATGCCAGTGGACGTCGCCATCAACCAGCTCCACGATCCACAGTCTGCCAAGGCACGCATATGTCTCAGAAGACCCAATTAAAATGAAGCACGTTGCCTTAAAATGAAGCACATTGCCTTGCAAGAACCAAAAAGCAAGCTTTCTCAATATAAGATTGGTCAATAAACAGCGTCGTGACTTTGAATAATAGTTGACTTTTCCATCTTCACATAATAGATTCCTCTGAGTGTATTGCAATTGTGCTGGGTACGAATCCTATACATGAGGTTATTGCGCTACTGTTATACTTACCGTAACTTTCTGATTAACTCAAACACTACAACAGTTACAGAATTATATTTTATGCCATACTAATCTAGCTGTCTCATATTATTTTATAGCCTGTTCTCCCGCTACAAACGGGTCTACGTTTCAGATTCTTTACGAAGTTGCACGTGGCACGTTGAGAATGGCTGCTTGGAGTTGTGTCAGAAGGTGTTTCCCAAATCGCTCAGAGCTTCCATCGAAATTTCACCCGAGGCGAGATCCGAGCGATGTTGAAACTGCTGTGTGGTTGGGAAGGCAGGCTGGCTATCACTCTCCTGCTTCAAGGCTTCGTCGGCGTTCTACTCTTCACGAAGAGCAGAGCATTAGTACTGCGACCGAGCGTTATAGCGTCGTTTGTTTGTAATTGTATCTTATACCGTGCACAGGAAGCTGGACGCAGTTATCGTAGTTGTGTTGGCAACATGGATTGCACGGATCCGAAAGAGGTAGCGTCACGCCTCGGGAATATTGCGTTCGGCAACGTTATCGCAGCAGCAGCACGCGATCTAAAAAAAGTAGGTAGCGCGTGCCGGTTTTCCGCTTTCAACCTCAAAGGGTTAATGCTCAGCGAGTTAGCTTCCTTTTGTTTCCTTTTTGTAGGCCGAAAGGAACGCACGCTCAGCATCGGTGTGTTCTTTTATTCTACTGTCCTTTACGCATTCAGGAAAAGGAGTTGTCTCAGAAGAATGCTTCCGCAACTGTAGAGGATGATTTCGATCTCGACGACCTTGCGGATGTAAGCAGAATGCAGCTCCTATTGTTTTGACCATGCCGAACTCACACGATGGAGAACTCCTTGTATTACGAACGTTTCTCCAACATTTCATTTTTGTTCCTTATTTCTAATCTGCGGCAGGACCCTGAGCTTGAAAAACTACACGCTGAACGGCTACAATCCTTGATGGTAAAGCTAATGCCACATCCACGTTTTCCGTCCATTGTTGACTGCCAAGTGTACAGCGAGTTCTAAGTCAGAGTGTTGGTTTAGACTTGACCTTATCCCTTGTTGCGTTCACATCGTCTTTGGCTCAGGCCGAGACCAAGAAGCGCGAAAACCTAAGAAAGAAGGGACACGGGGAGTACCGGGAGGTGAGAATGCTGAAACGTGCATTAGCAGATTCGGGTAGTAAGAGTACTGACGTAAATCTGGTAACGTTTCGAATTTCCCTTCCAGATCACGGAGGAAGAGTTTCTACAAGAGGTTAAGTCAAGCGAACTCGTCCTATGCCACTTTTATCACGCCGAGTTCCCTCGTTGCAAGTATGTGTTCACACCCTCGCGCATTTGCTTCGTTACACATTCTCCTCGCAACTGAACGTCGTTGCTGTGCACCTTTTCAGGATCGTTGATAAGCATCTGGCCATCCTGGCACCAAAACATTTGGAGGCCAAGTTTCTAAAGATTGACGCAGAGGTAAGTTGTACGATATGTTTTCATGCAAAAACTTTCCGCCCTTTCTGGGGCGCACAATAGTGCTGGAATTTCCTTATCAACATTAAATCCCTGTTGTACTCTTTCACCCTTCGTCGTGGCCATCTCTCTCTCCACTATTATGGTTAGCTCCCCACCTGCTTCCGCATCTCCCCTGTTTCAGGACCCTTTATCCTCCATCATGTCCTGTATCTCCCCTTTTGTTTTCATGTGTGCAACAGAAATGCCCTTTTTTTGTGTCCAGATTAAATATCAAAGTCCTACCATGCATGATTCTATTCAGGTTCGTGCATCCATGTCCAACGTGTTAATGCAGGAGGGATGGGAGATAGTGTCATGTAGGGGGGGATGTGGAAAGCATTGACTAACGGTTACAACACTATGAGATCGAGCTCAGCTAGTATTTGCTTGTTCTTCACATGCAGGGATGCCGTTGCTTTTCATAGAATAGTAGGGTTCGAGGCCTTCAGGAATCGTGACAACTTCTCAACTTCGGAGCTGGAGAACTATCTGATTAAGCAAGGTAAGAGCTCCCGATGTGTGTGTGTGTGTGTGTGTGTGTGTGTGTGTGTGTGTGTGTGTGTGTGTGTGTGTGTGTGTGTGCGTGTGTGTGTGTGTGTGTGTGTGTATCTGTGTTGCATTTTTGTTCTCTAAGAGTTCTCTAACGAGTAAATCTCATGCTGTTTCAGAGTTCTTGGAGTTAAGGGAAGACGAGGATGCTGAAGAAGAGGATGAAAATAAGGGAAGAAGTATACGAGCATCTGCTCTTTCAAGTGGCTATGAGTAGCCTCGTGTATTGGTTCCTTGACATATCTAACTGCAAAACTTAGTGAAGGTCAGCTCTGTTGATATTTTATGTACCGGAAGCTAGTAACGGAGCCAATACAGTTGAAAACTGATTTGACCTGCTTCTTGGAAAGAAGCGCGCACCAGCTGGCGTCCAGCAAGATCGGGCACCCAGACTGTACGGTATCACTTGCCACAAGCAGGACAGACAAGCATCTGGAAGAGTGCTGCACTTCGTGAATTTTCGCCATGGGATACGCAATGCTTCTATGAATGGTTCAGGAATGCTCGCCAGCTTTCCGACAGCTCGTAACGTTCTAAATCAACGCTTTAGACTAGATTGACCATAGATTTGACATTTAAATCGCCTGTCTTCGCACATCTCGTTGACATAACCAACGGATGCTGCCTGGTGGAACTCCGTAGTGTAGATTCGATGTGGAGCTGGCTGGAGAGGACTGAGGCAGCAGCAATGCTTTGTGGCAATGCCTTGTGGGCAGGTCGTACATTTACGATGCTGGCTCAGGACGGTTTTCCACGGTGAAAAGCGGTTTCTGAGATCTACCGTTCACCGCAACAAATTTCATCACAGAACGTACGGTAGCCGTAGGACCAGATGACGTCCTCCCAACATAAGTCAAGGAGCTGGGCTCCTCCAAATGCTCGACTCGATGTCTTCGTTTTCAGAATGCCTATGTTCAAGCTTTTGTCCATTATATATAGAACGAGTCAAGTTCCGTAGTGCCCATCCTGCCTTTCTGACTATAACTCCATTGACGCCTTGCTTGACAAACAACTCCTATTTCCGCCATCCTGCAGCTTCATATCCACGTCCCCCCAAATCTCCTAGGTCGACATTGTTACGGTAGTCATGCTGATTTTCGTTATTTTCTAAAGCACCGGTTTTTTAATATTTAGGCTCGAGGAGCCAAACTTTTGCGAGAATGAGCTGGAAGTGGTCGCAGGAGCTGAGCCCGTGAGGCGACTTTTGAGTCGACTCAAAAGCACTGGTTTTTAATACTTAAGTGGTCCGAGGAGCGAGACGTTTGCGAGAATGAGCTGGAAGTGGTCGCAGGAACCAAGCCCGCGAGGCCAGCCCGAGCCGCTGGAGCACCAGCCGCTGCAATGGGTGCTCGAGGTGACTCCCCAGCTGGACGTCAGTCGCAGCACTCTCGCCGTCGCTCTCGCCGACGCGGAGAGCTTGAAAAAATCGCACGAGTTGTCGCACGGATCGTTGCGGGGGGGTTCGGAGTCGGGAGCCAGCGGAGCCGGCGCGGAACTTCCCGTGTTCATTCTCGTCGCCGTCATGCAGGACGCTACTGCACCTCCTTGTACGCGATAAGAAATCTCCTCGATATGCGTCCGCGAGAGGTTGAGCGCTACGAAAACAGTCTTCGTCAAGCTTTTTGTCCGTCGAATGTATCAGCCTCCTCTTCTTTTCCCTCGTCAGCGTCGACGCGCGACGTTGCTTGTGGCAAATTCGCAACTGATAAAATTGAAACGTCTTTCACACTGAACGGGTTGCACCGGCCCGCGGACCGGCCGTGTTCACCTAATATGTTCTTTACCGACAGGTTGAGGAGGTAGGGCAAGGTCAGATGCGCGTGACGTTATTCACATGGCATTGCGCGTGTGACATCGTGCGCGTGGCATTGCGCGCTTGTGCGCGCAACATGAAGCGTGTGACATTGTGCGCGTAGGGCACTCTCGGATTAAGCACTTCACCATTGCGAAACATCAGCAAATGCGTGCGTACTCATCTCATCCTGATGATCCATGCATCCATGCATGCATCCATGCGTGTCTCTCTCCTCTCATCTGCCATGACCATGGACGAGGCAGTGTGGCTAGTGGAGGCAGAGGAACCGCCGTCCGACGCCCCTGAGAAGCAGCAGCTGGGTGCACGTGCACAACCGTGCGTGTATGCACTCACCCCCATGTCTGTTCTTCTCTCCCTTTCTCCCTCTCTCTCCCTCTCTCTCCCAGCGCCCATGGTGCGGCGAACCATGACAATGGACGAGGCAGTGCGCCTGGCAGAGGCAAAAGAGGCGCCTCTCGATGCTCATGCCTCGCTCTCCTTCCCCCACAGCTCCTCTCCCTCCCCCCCGCGTCCTCTCCTTTTCAGCCCCCATGGTACGACGAACCATGACAATGGACGAGGCAGTGCGCCTGGCAGAAGCAGAGGAGGCTGTCATTCGCAAGATGCTGCAGCCACTCAAGACCCTTGCACACAGCCGCCAGGTGAGACGCTCGTGACGCCGGCTGTCTGCTTGGTTGATAGTTCTGAGCGGCCTCGGAACTGGCAGAGGAGGTCGTCATTCGCAAGATGCTGCAGCCGCTCAAGGCCCTCGCACACAGCCGCCAGGTGAGTCGATCATAACACCCGCCGGCTGCTTGAATGATGGTTTTGACAGGTCTCAAAACTCGCAGAGGAGGCTGTCATTCGCAAGATGCTGCAGCCACTCAAGGCCCTCGCACACAGCCGCCAGGTGAGACGCCGCCAGGTGAGACGCTCGCGGAGCCTTACAGCCGCCAGGTGAGACTCCTTCAGTCATAACACCCTTCTTACCCCTTTTGCCGCGAGGTGTGTGCAGTGATGCATCTGGGGCGCAGCAGCAGCAGCGGCCTGCTTTGAAAAGCCCTGTGGTGGTTGGTCGGTGTTTGGTCCTCGTTTGTCGTATCCTCCTTTATTCACCCCCAACCCCTTCCCCCCCCCACCTCCCCCCCCCCACCTTCCCCTCCCCCACCTTCCCCCCCCCCCACCTCCCCCCCCCCTCTCCCTTCCTTCTCCCCTTCTTCCCTGCCCCCAGGTGCGAGCAGTGATGCATCTGGAGTGCAGCAGCGACCATGAGAAGGCCCTGTGTGTGGCCAGTCATAACACTCCTCCTGCTCCCCTTGCTCCCCCCCCACGCCCCCCTGCCTCCAGGTGCGAGCAGTGATGCATCTGGAGCGCAGCAGCGACCATGAGAAGGCCCTGTGTGACGCAGTCAAGCGGTTCTCCGCCTCCAGGGTCTACATCGGGGTCAGAAAGTGAGTCAGACAACAGAACACAGTCCCTTTTCAAGGCCCTGTGTGCTAAGCCCCTCCGCAACACCCAAGAATACATATATTGCGAGTCGATACTCGCTTGCGAATAATAATAATGATGATGATAATAATAATAATAATAATAATAGTAGTAATAATAATAAATCCATGAGTGCTTCTGCTCTTCTTCATGAGCAATGTGACTCTGAAGCGAAGGCCCTCAGCAACACAGAAGGATGCGATTTTCCAAGTCTCAACGACCTGGGACCCACAGCAGCACATGTCCCCTCTTCCCTCTCTCCTCTCCCCTCTCCCCTCTCCCCTTTGCTCCACCCTCCCCCTCTCAGGAAGTTCCTGTGGTCGAACTCCCTCAGCAGCGCGCCGACAGCCTACTACGAGACGAATCTCCCCGACGGCTGTGTGCTGGTGGTGGCGCAGGGGTCGCGGCGGGTGGCAGAGATCCCCGTGCATCCCAAAGGGCCCCTCCGCAGCCGCACCCTCAGCCGCTCCAAACGCTCCCAGGCTGGCTTTGATCCGCCGCTCACGCCCACAGGCACTGCACCTGGTGCTGGTGCTGGTGCTGCTGCTGGTGGTGGTGTGGTAGGGGGGGGGTGGGAGGGGCAGGGGCAGGGGACGAGGTGTGGGCAGGGGTGTGGGCAGGGGAATGGAGAGGGGTGCAAGCAGGGGGTTTCCTCGCTCGGCATCGTCGAATGCTGCTTTGGAGGCGGGAAGCAGGGGTGGAGAGCGGTGGTCTGATGCTGGTAGCAGCGCTCGTGCTGGTGCTGGTGCTGGTGCTGGTGCTGGTGCTGGTGCTGGTGCTGGTACTGGCACTGTTGCTGGCGTGGGTGCTGTGATTGGTGGTGGTGTTGGGAGCAGCAGTGGTGGGCGGGGCGGGGTTGGCAGCAGAGGAGAGGGAGAGAGGAGGCGGGGGGAGAGAGAGGAGGTCCAGGCAGGAGAGCGAGAAAGCAGACCCCTGGCGGGCAGACTCAGGGTGATTGTGCCGTCTACTAGAGAGGTGGACGGATGGGGGGTACAAATTCAGGGAGAGCAGACTCAGGTGGAGCAGCGACAGGGGGAGCAGCGACAGGGGGGGCAGCGACAGGGGGAGGAGAGTCAGGGGGGACTAGGGCTGGAGGCTGGGTCGGGGGATGAGGATGATGATGCACTGGCAGAGCTAGGAGAAGAATGGATCAGAAGCAGGAGGAGAGAGGCGCCAACGTCAGGTAGAACGCCAGGTGCTGCATCAGGTGCTGCATCCGATGCTGCATCAGGTGCGGCATCAGGAGCAGTGGATTCAAAGCGAGCAGGGCGCCATCAGCGGAGCCACTCCATGCACCTGCTGTCACCGCACCCCACAGCTCTCTTCTCCCCCTCACTCCCTCCCTCTCACCCCCGCCGCCTGTCCATATCAGACGCCCTAGAAGCAGAGGGCAGTGTGGGCCAAAAACGGGGCCCGGGGCGAGAGAGGAAGGTTAAACTGGAGGTCGAGGAGGTGGATGAGGAGGAGGAGGAGGAAGAGGAGGAGGAGGAGGAGGAGGAGGGAGTGATGGGACCCCATGGTGGTAGGAGGAACCTTCCCAGTGAATACCATGACCATGCCAGCCAGTTCGGCCCGTTGAGTGTGCGCGGCAACCCCACCACCCCACGCCTCTTCTCCCCAGATGACTGGACATTCCCTCTAAATGATGATGCTTCTGATGCCTCTGGTGCTTCTGGTGCCTCTGGTGCTACTTGGCCGTCCAGTGCTGCTGGTGCATCTGGTACATCAGCCCCCACGACTCCCAAGGGAGCGAGCAGAAACCCCAAGGGCGAGGGCATGGCAGGGAGAGGCACAGGGAGAGCCGTTGGGATGGTAGAATCTGGAGGGATTGCGAGGCATGATAGTGGGAGTGGGCGTGGGCGTGGGAGTGGGAACCGGGATGGGAGTGGGAATGCTGGTGGGGAGAAGAAGGAGGAAAGGCCAGGAGTACGCATAGGAGCAGGTGCAGGAGCAGGTGCAGGAGCAGGTGCAGGAGCAGGAGCAGGTGCAGGTGCAGGTGCAGGTGCAGGTGCAGCTGCAGGTGCAGGAGCAGCGACAGGCACCGGCACAGGAGCAGGGGGGAGCGGGCAGGAGGCCAGGCGGGGGGCTTGGCGCAGCCGGTTTCGCAGTGCGAGTGTGAGCGAGGTGCCTCTCTCGCCCTCCCAGCTGCTCTCCCCCTCTGGCCTGCTCTCCCCCGAGCGCCCCTTCTCTGCTATCTCCGCCTGGGATGCCCTTCCTGTGCGCATCGGGGGCAGTGCTGTGGAGACAGGGGGGAGGGTGATGGAGGGCGAGGTGCTAAAGTCGCCGCGCATGGGGGGCAGTGCTGTGGAGACAGGGGGGAGGGTGATGGTTGAGTCGATGCACAAGTCGGCTCGTGTAGGGGGCAGTGGCGCTGGTGCTGGTGGTGATGGTGCTGCTGGTGCTGGTACTGCTGGTGCTGGTGCTGCTGGTGCTGGTGCTGCTGCTGCTGCTGCTGCTGCTGCTGCTGCTGCTGCTGCTGGTACTCACGGGGATGCTGACGAGGATGAGGATGAGGATGACGTGTTTGAACAGCTGATGCGGCGCCAGCTGGACACAGTGTGCAGCAAGAACGACACCAACAGTAAAAGCAACAGCATGGTCAGCGGCAGCAGCAGCAACAGTCATGTCCGCACTGCATCAGCCTCTGGCTCCTCCAACCGGGATGTGCTGCCCGCGCACATGGGGACCATTGCTGCGGAGACAGGGGGGAGGCAGGTGGGAGGGAGTGGGGATGGGTGGGGGACTGGGAGCAATGTGTCGTCTGCTGCTGCTTCTGCTGGTGATGCTGACGAGGATGAGGATGAAGATGACGTGTTTGAACTGCTGATGCAACGGCAGCTGGATGCAGTGAGTAGCAACAGCAAAGTCAACGGCAGCAGCAGCAACATCAACAGCAGCAGCAACAGCAACAGCAACAGCAGCAGCCATGCCCGCAATGCATCAACCACTTCCTCCTCCTCTCCTGCTCCTCCTCTTCCCCCTCCTTTGGCCACTGCTGTTGCAGCAGGATGGCAGGTGCAGCTGCTGCACAATCACAGTGGCAGTATGCATGGTGATGGTGATAAAATCAACAGTGCTATAATAAACGGTCATAATGCTACCCCCGGCAGCAGCAGTGCTCACCTGTCTCACCAGATCTTCAACACCACACCTGCAGCCTCGGCAGCCACAGCCTCGGTGGCAGCCACAGGTTCGGGTGGATCCCCTAAGCTTCGGATGCTCACCACTAAAGGATCTGGCTCAGGTTCAGGTTCAGGTTCAGGTTCAGGTTCAGGTTCCCGCCTGGCCTCAGGGCTAGGGCTGGGCAGAGCAGCAGCTAGAATGCTCTTTCCCAAGTCTTCCAGTGGCGGCAGCCGCACGGGGCAAGAGGACACCACTCCCCAAAGCCCCCTGGCGTCCCCTCCCCCGTCGGATCCTGAGGGTGATGAGTATCAACGGACACGATCGCTCGGCACGTATGATTTTGTAAGGTATAAGCAGAGCAGGAGCGCGAGCAGGAGGAGCAGCAGGGACTATGGGGAAAGCAGTGGCAGTGGAGGCAGTCCCTCTCAGAAATCTGCGAGCCTCCTTTCTCATTCGTCCTCCGATCTCCCCTTGCAACAATCTGTGCCATCAGTTCAGCAATCTGTTTCAGAGAGGCCTAAAAAGTCGTCCCATCAGCAGCCTCTGCTGCTGGATGGATCAGCGAAAGCGGCAGTCGCAAGCCAATCTGCCAGGCACCCCGTCCCTCCTCGCTCTCCCTCTCGCCGCACCCCTCCTCCGCTCGTCCCCTCTACTGCTTCTGCTGCTGCTAACACGTCTCCACCCCGCTCTGCTCGAAGAAATGCTGCTGTTCCCGCCTTCCCTCGATCTGCTAGTGCGGGCAGCAGCAGCAGCAACAGGGAGAGCGGCAGAAGCCGAAGCAACGCAGGCAGCAATTTCATCAATTACAGCAACAGCTACAGCAACAGCAGTGGCAGCAGGATTGAAGGATCAGAGCATGCTGCTGCTGCTGCTGCTATCGGTACTGGTGGAGTGGGGAGAGGGGCGAAAGAGGTGATGGAGCCAGGGGAAGAAGATAGAGGAGGAGCTTTACCAGTGGCAGCAGAAGCAGGTGTGACGATGCTGCGAACCAAATCCGGAGAGATTTTAGGCCGCAACCAGCAGCAGCAGCAGCAGCAGCCGCAGCCGCAGAGGAGGGCTTTGGGGAGGTTTCCTGTGTGCCGCATGGAGCAGCGGCAGCAACAGGTTGAAGCTGGCTTGGGATGACATTCTGGGGGACGGGCCTGATGCAGGACAGGCGCCAGCAGGGAGAGGTTCGCTTGTCCGCAAAGCGGTGAAGGCAGCAGGAGCCGCAGGAGCAGCAAAAGCAAGAGACGCAGCGGGAGCAGCAAGAGCAACACGAGCAGCAGGAGCAGAGAAAGGCAGAGGTGGGGAGACGGAGCACACAGCATGGGCAAACGGCGCAGCAGCAGAGGAGTTTGATTTCGGTGTGCCAGCAGAGACGGCAGGTGAGGTTGAAAGGCGCGAGTCTGTGGACCTGGCTATGGGTGGCAAGCCAATGCCCAGGGGTGGTGGCAGTGGCGGTGATAGCGGTGGTGGTGGTGGTGGTGGTGGTGGTGGTTCAAGGCTCAATCAGGGCAGCAACAATGGCACCATGCTGAGCTCAGGTACAGATGATGCAGCACGGGCAGCAGCAGCAGCAGCAGCAGCAGCAGCAGCAGGAGCAGGAGAAGCAGGAGGAGAAGAAGCCCAAAGTCCCGAGGATCTATCAGCGTCCAGCATCCCTCACCACCTATCGTCTCTTGTTCCCTGTCGGGTGTTCACTCTGCAGCAGCTAGCAGCAGCAACTGACGGCTTCAATCCCTCTCGCCTGCTGGGCCGCAGCAGTGGGGGCAGCGCAGGGGGAAGTGTGTACCGAGGGGAGCTGCTGGGGCGCCCTGTGGCGATCAAGCGGCTGCAGGGCCCGGGAATTAGCCACAGGAGTCCGGGACCCTACTCCACGTCAGCTGCCACGTCAGCTGCCTCGTCAGCGGCCACGTCAGCAGAGGCTGAGGCGTTTTGGAGGGAGGTGGGGGTGCTGGCGAGTGTGCGGCACGCGCACGTGGTGGGCATGGTGGGGTGCTGCCCTGAGGACTTCTCCCTTGTGTATGAACTCATGGTGGGAGGGTCTCTCTGGGACCGCCTACACCCACAGCTGCAGCAGCAGCTGCAGCAGAAAAGGCAACAGAAACAGCAGCAGCAAGAGCATGAACAAGGGGCAGCCACCACCCCGCCTCCCTCCCCTCTCCCCGCTCCCCTCCCATGGCACCATCGCCTGTGCATCGCCTCTGAAATCGCCTCTGCGCTCCTCTTCCTACACTGCCACAGCCCCCCTATCCTCCACTCCGACCTCAAACCCCAAAACATCCTTCTCGACAGCCATGGCGCCAGCAAACTTGCTGATACAGGCCTGGCGGGGCTCAGTTTCTTCGGCTTGCTTCCGCAGAATCACCTCGAGGTCACGTTCAAGGTGCAGGGGACGTTTGGGTTTTTCGATCCGGATGTTGTGGTTACCACCGGGGAGGTTACGGCAGCGAGTGATGTGTATGCTCTGGGCGTGGTGCTGCTGCTGCTGCTCACCGGGATCGAAGATGTGAAAGAGGTGCACCGGTTGTTTGGTCAAGTGTCAAGCACAAATGCTACCACAATCACAAGTGCAAGCACAGGCTCACGCCCTACGTGCAATCTAGATATTGCCGTGCCTTTCTTTGCGGAGCGCCTTGACAAGCGGGCGGGCAGCTGGCCGAGAGATTTGGCTGCCCGGGCTCTGCGAGTGGCGCTGCAGTGTGTGGAACGGCGCGGCGTGGATCGGCCAGACCTGCAGACAGTGGTGCACCCGACCCTGGCTGCCATTGCTAAAGAGGTGCGGGAGGTGCAGGCGCGGGAGGTGCAGGCTCGGGAGGAGGTGAAAAAGGGGGAGGGACTGCGGGATCAGGAAGAAGAGGTGAAGCAGAGGCGGGAGGTGCAGGCAGGGCAGGAGTTGCAGCTAGAGAGTCGCTTCATCTGCCCTCTCTCCCATGTGAGTTGCCCTCCGCTGCTGTATCCCTCCCAACTTGATGCCCATCATCTCCCGTCAGTCCCATGGTGGTGAGGTACAATAGCGGCGTTTCTCAGACCGCGTGCTTTTAGCACCGGTTCCCTGTGCACACATTCCCTCCCTCCTGTTTTTTTCTGCTGTATCGCTCCCAGCCTGGTGCCCATGTCCATCATCTCCCGTCACTCTCATGGTGGTGATGTACGATGGCGGCGTTTCTTGCAGAACGTTTCAGGGAGTTTTTGAGAATTCTCAAAAACTGCCTGATGCCCATGCCCATCATCTCCTTTCACTCTCATGGTGGTGGTGTACGATAGCGACGTTTCTTGCAGAACATGCTCTTGGCACCGATTCCTGTGCACACATTCCTTCCCTCCTCCTGTCCCCTTGTTCTATATCGCTCCTCCCATCCCGTTCCCCCGTTCACATATTCCTCTGTTCCCCTCACCCCCGTTGCACCAGCAGCAGCAACGGCTGCACGATCCTGTGGTGTCATTCCCGTCGCTCTTTCCGTCCCTCCTCCCCCCCCCCTATTCTCCCTCGCCTTTGCACCAACAGCAACGGCTGCACGATCCTGTGGTGGCAGCAGGCGGGGTGACGTATGAGGCGGCAAGTGATAGAGGCGTGGTTCTCACCACATGTCATTCCCGTCGCTCTTTCCGTCCCTCCTCCCCCCCCCCTATTCTCCCCCGCCTTTGCACCAACAGCAACGGCTGCACGATCCTGTGGTGGCAGCAGGCAGGGTGACGTATGAGGTGGCAAGTGATAGAGGCGTGGTTCTCACCACATGTCATTCCCGTCGCTCTTTCTGTCCCTCCTCCCCCCCCCCCCTATTCTCCCCCGCCTTTGCAGCAACAGCAACGGCTGCACGATCCTGTGGTGGCAGCAGGCGGGGTGACGTATGAGGGCGGCAAGTGATAGAGGCGTGGTTCTCACCACATGTCATTCCCGTCGCTCTTTCCGTCCTTCCTCCCCCCCCCTATTCTCCCTCGCCTTTGCACCAACAGCAACGGCTGCACGATCCTGTGGTGGCAGCAGGCGGGGTGACGTATGAGGCGGCAAGTGATAGAGGCGTGGTTCTCACCACATGTCATTCCCGTCGCTCTTTCCGTCCCTCCTTCCCCCCCCACTCTCCCTCGCCTTTGCACCAACAGCAACGGCTGCACGACCCTGTGGTGGCAGCAGATGGGGTGACGTACGAACGGCAGGCGATAGAGGCGTGGCTCGCAGCACATGACACCTCCCCCAGAACCCACCTCCCCCTCCCACACAAGCATCTCACCCCGAATCTCATCCTGCTGGAACTGCTTTCCACCCTGGGCCTTCTGAATGGATCATAAGGGGGTTAACGGACGGAAGGTGGCAGGGTTCGGAGGTGGGCGGAGGAGAAAAGGCAAGGGGGAGAGGAGAGGTGTTGGGGGGAGAGGGTGGGGAGGGTGGTAAGCAAAGGGGGTGCAAGGTTGGAAGGGGCGAGGGGGGGTTTGTTGAAGGGGAAGTGGTGGGGGAAACAGGGCAGGTGGAAGGTGTCTGGGGAGGAGGGGAGGACTTGGCGTATTGTACCTTGCTTACTGTTATGACTAGGCGCAGGGCCTAGTATTGTGAATAGCTAGTTCACAGGCAAGCACTTTCATTTATGAAAGTTCCTGAAATACTGGATGTAGGATGTAGGAAAGTAAGATATTGTGGGTGTAAGTAGTGTATGATCATAAGATAACTCTTACCCCCTGAGTTCTGTAGCCAGTATTAGAGCAAATAATTTGGGGGGTACATCAGGAACATTTATTTGCACTAGACGGTGGGTGGAGATTATGCAGTTCCGAATTAAAAGGGGCCTAACACTTACAGTCACATGCTTTGGGGTACAGTAAGTAAATGATATACTACCTTTTTCCAAGCAACAAAACGCGCTGCGTGACCGACTAGTGGATGCGGAAGTCGAACAGGAGAAAGCCATCCTTCCAGCCAGATGCCACAGGTTGCGCGCTTCGCTTGTGTTTGTGTCGGGCGCAAAAGGGCGGGGAGGGGCGGGGCACGGTCATACTTCTCGCAACTTCGATGGAAGTTGGGTGTCTCGTTTGGTTTGTCAGCTTGCAACGGAAGTCCATCAGCCAGAAAGAATGCTGCTCCAGTCAGGGGCTCAAGGAGGTGCTGCTGCCCGGAACATTTACCCTCGTCCAATCTCGTTGGTGTAACTCAATCTTCCTCCAATCACCCCACGCGCCAACACCAACCCGCCTCCCTTCAGCAACGTAGCAAATCCAATCCATCTTACAGCCTTCACCACGCTGAGCCATACTGTATCTTCAAACATATACAGTTACCGTGCACAACCAGTAGTGTAATGTTTCGCGCCCCTTGTTCGCGATACTGCACCACACATTTGTTCTAGTTGTTCACGTTGGACGCATTGTCACAACTGTATTTGGCCAGACAGTTGGTCAGACCACCGTTTCATCAAAACGCTGTTTGGTCAGATCTCTTCGGGTAGTTAGCTTTGGCAGGGGTAATTGTAGCGACCCTGCGCTTTAAAGATTACTACAGTGCCAGCAGCGGGCAATTTCCACCCTCCGTGCCTCAGACAGGGAAGTTATAGAAACAAGAAAGTACTCTTCCCCAAATTCACCCACGTGTCACCAAAATCCATGCCCCGTACTGTACTGGACATTTTGACCATCTGTACGCAACAGACGTTTGTCCCTTCTGCCAAATAGAAACCAATCTGACCGCGGGCAAAAAATATAAACCCCCATTCGGATTGCATGCCATTAGGGTTGATGCCTCCCGAATTGCATGCCTTCCATGTGGGGTTTATTTGTTTTACTTGCCCGCTGACTCATTGCACTGCCTGCTGACGCAGGCTTCCTTCCGAAATTTTGGGCGCGTAACAGTAGCTATCAGATTTCGGAACAGTGTGGCAGCCGAGCCACCCAGAGTATTTTTTTTTTATGCAATGATACACTATAAAGAGCATACAGAGCATTGACAGTCGTAACTGTAGCCACCAGAGTGTGGATTCGATTTGGAATTTGTGACACGTGGGTGAATTTGGGGAGAGTGCTGTCTTGTTTTCATAACTTCACTGTCTGATGCAGGGAGGGTGGAAAGTGCCCTCTACTGGCACTGTAGTCCACTTCAAAGTGCAGGGTCGCTAGTAGGACCCCTGCCAAAGCTACTTACCTGATTTCTTCATCACCCACCAGAAACAAAATTCTGCATCCCTCTGGCGCTGCTCCCAGCGTGGCATACACTTTTTGTTTGGTCGATGCGATGGCCGCTTGTC